TCTCGGTCTGATCAGTTGGTATTACAGTGGATACTAAGCTGTATGGATCGGTGCAAGACATGGAAGACAGATTAGTGGAAGACATGGAAGACATGTCAGTGGAAGACATGGAAGACAGATCAGTGGAAGACATGGAAGACAGATTAGTGGAAGACATGGAAGATAGATCAGGGGAAGACATGAGAGACAGATCAGTGGAAGACATGAAAGACAGATCAGTGGAAGACATGAAAAACAGATCAGTGGTAGACATGAAAGACAGATCAGTGGAAGACATGAAAGACAGATCAGTGCAAGACATGGAAGACAGATCAGTGGAAGACATGGAAGACAGATCAGTGGAAGACATGGAAGACAGATTAGTGCAAGACCATAGCCTTCATAGAGACCTATGGCCTTCTCGTTGGAAAAATCTATGACAGTGAGAATGAAGATAAGAATAAGAAAAAGTTCATCAATATACTAGGGCATTTATTTATTTACCTGCAAATTAATTAAACCTTATTACTTACTTATCCCCTCTCCCCCTTTTTTTCTACAGGAACCACATCCATTAGGACCAGGTACACCTCTTGCAATGTTGGCTGCCCAGTGCAACAAGATCACCAGCAAATCACCCCCACCGTTCAGCGACTCCCCAACCAGCAAAGGTGGGTTTCACCCCTGGAGGAAAGCCGAGCCGACCTCCCCGAGCCCCTGCGCCATCGGTGGGGGCGTGTCGTCGGGGCAGAAAACCCCAACTTTTACGTCACAACAGTCGAGCCACGCCTACTTGGGCTACGGGCGGCCTGTGACTTCGTCTGCCTGTGGCACTGGAGCAGTGTACGCCAACGATCTATTTTCAACCTCGTCACATGGAGGTTGTGGTGTCTATGGAAGTGACGGATCGCAGTCGCCAGTCCAGCATAAGGTTTGTCTGCTGTGTTAGTAAATAAATGTAAAAACAAAACGCCTGTTAAACCTTCTGAGGTTGAATGAATAAAGAACTGACATCAATGCACTTAAGACATTCCTAAGCCTCCGCTCCCCTTTTCAGTAGCCAACGTAGAGTCGACATGCTAATAGGACTAGTCATAACCTTATTAAAAGTCCGCCTATGTTACACAGGCGACCAGGTCGCTTATTAGCTCGCCGGTAGACGACTTCAATCCCGGTCGAAGCAGTATTTGGATCTGTCTCCTTCGATGGCATCAACACTGCAGGAATCCTTTTCAGGGCTCTTGGTGGCGTTCAATGTTAAGCTATTTTATATGGCTCACATAACCTAGTCACAATTATAACTTTAAGCTTCCCTTTCGGAAATGGTGGTTGAGAGTGACGATTTTGTTTTCCCAGCAACGCACTAACCTACATGCCTATGTGAACCCTTCAGTGTTGAATATCTTCCAGAACCACCACTCATCCTTCAGTCTGTCGATGCACGACCGGTTCCAGCTGACAGGCCGTGCTGCTGACGTCGCCGCGTCGGGCTAACGGCCCGTTAACGCAGCGGTTTTTAAACTGAGTGCCAAGGCAATAATCAAGAAAAGTCGGCTAAAAATTGTTAAATTATTACAGAAGGCATGTAGACACTTCAAAGTTGAAATTGTAGTTGTCCTCCCTCGCCAGTGTCGAAAATCGTTTATTTCTTGTTTGAGAACCGCTGCGTTAAGGCATCGTTAGCCCGACCCGGTGACGTCAGCAGCATGACCCGTCAGATGGAGCCGGTCGTGGTCAGTGTATGGATTCTCTGTCCTTTCTGTTGCAGCACTGTTCATTTTGATCCTAGAGAGTCTTTACCACTTTCGCTTTTTAGAATATGAATTCCAATGATGACACTTTCGCTTCTTAGGCTTCAGAGATTTAGTGCTGAACCTAGATTTTCATAGACCAAACGGAACCCGGTTGTTGATGTGCTTATCGCCCTTACTCCCCATGACATTACATGATACTCATTTTAAGTTGGGTCAACCTGAGAGCCAATGTTATTTTGAAACAACTTAATCTATGATGCATTTTTGAACTCTAGACATTTGGTCGGCAGGCCACGGTCTAACCTTTAGGCTTCTGCAGCTCACATTGTCTTCTTCTTCAGCATATTATGCTTGAGGTTCATTGCTGCAGATATCACCCGCCTCTTCATATTTCTGGTTGGCATTCTCTTTCCAGTTGGTGACACCAAGTGTTTGTAGATCTGTGTGGATATTCTGTCATCATCGACTTTTTTATCTGCCTTGTCTGCAGTGTACCTCTGTCAACTGTCATTAATTTCATTTAACTGTGGGGTTTGATCCCAGCTGCGGGCGATTAGGCAACAGACTGTCTTGTGCTGGTTTAACAGAGATATCGACTGTTTAGAAAGCAATGGCAGACTGCTTAACTTTAAAAAAAATTGCCCAATATTATCACAAACAGTCAACAACAACAAAACGCTGGGGTTACTTCTAAAACGTCTTGTAAAGAATACGAAGCTAACTTCAACATTCCAGGAAGTTACTTCAAGAATAACAATCCAAGTGCGAATTCCATGACTTTTTTTCGGGAGTACCAAAAAAAGAACCCACTGCCTCACCAACTAGCTTGTCGTAAGAGTCGACTAAATGAAGTCGGAATGCATCTGCCTGAGGGGCAAGAAACCAAAAATCTTCTTATAATTAAGTCAGATCTGTTAAACGAATGCGCCCCCAACACTCAGGTTCTGGAACAAGACTAAAGTCCAGAGGTGGACAAACAACCAAAACATTCCTTTGGAGTTTACAGCCGGTGAACACAAACAAGAGAAAGAAGTAATAGTGGTAGTAGCAGTAACAGCAGCCGCCGCCGCAGCAGAAGTACTAGTATTAGTCAGAGTTTAATGTAGTCAGTGAAACCAATACATTTTAAATGTAATGAGCTGGCGGGAACGAAAAAGGAAATAAAACAAGAAGGGAGACAAGGAAAAGACAATGTGGTTAGGACAATAAGTAGTTCCCCCTGAATTGCAAACTCAGGAAAAGTACAGAAAAGGCAATGGTTTTTCTTGTGCAGGAACCATGAAATATTACTCATTGCTCAGGCGATTAATATGTCTTCTTCTTCGATCCTTCTGTCAGAAAACTTATATCAGGAGGCCGGTAGCCTTTATAAAGTCATCGTGCAATCCATATCCTCTAGTGTACCATACAGTTTTGTCTTTATTGTGGTTGGAACAGGCCAGATTGCATCTCTGTTGTCAGCATACAGTTGACAGTGTTGGAGCACATGCTCAGCATTTTCGGGTGCCACGCTGCAGGGACACGTCTCCGTATTTCCTACACCCAAAAATTGGAATATATGTTGACGAAATCTGTTGTGCTCATTCCTTAATCTGAATATAATACACTGTCCCTCTCTATAGAGGCGATAAAGTGTGTCTTGGGGAGAAAATCTGGTGTGGGTATCCAGCCACCTTTCTTGGATACTAGATTGAAATAATGTTTTCGTCTCTTGGTGGGTTAAGTCGCTTTTTGGTTGTACCATGTCACTGCCGCTTCTGGCCAATCTGTCCGCTATGTCATTGCCTTCCATTGACCTGGAATCCACTGCAGTACAGATTATTGTGTGATTACTGAATACACAACAATAACTGCAACACATAGCAACAAAAGCAACGCCTAGCCAGACTACATGCACGAACTAAAAGTTCTATTCTGAATCGAACAAATTGATTATAATCACCACATTCAACATTTTTTTTTTTTTTCTGAACAAAGAACTAGCGTGTTTGGCAGATAATACATTTTTTTTTTAAAACCACACCGTGTTCCAACAGACCATATGCTCATCACTCTAGCTAACAAAGATTTCTTTTCTAAGAGACTTACAATCAGAAATCTCTGAGCGAGGATACACGTGGAAATTTAGATCTAACATAATCTAACTACTGAGCGTAGCGATACAACCCGAAACCAGTGAGCCCGTTAATCTATCTCGACTCAGTCCACCGTGCCTTCGCTGTGTTGAAAAATCTGTGCAGTTCCGCAACAATAGGAGGAATACATGTCCTTACGGCGACTGTCCAGACCAAAGAGCGAAGAGTACAGAGAGCGCTCTTCTAATAGTAGTAGTACTTTTACCCCGCCAGAGCATCACACAAGCGATAACACCCGATGACACAAAGTGCAACCATGCGGATGAGGATCACCCGTGGAGAGATCCTGGAACCCGCGTTCAGCCATTAGGCCATATTTATGGCCGGGCTATATTGCGGCCCCTCACAAAAGCCAGGATAGGCCTTTAAAATTTAAAAATATTGAATCCCGCAAGAGGACTGTAGGCTAGCGCTCTTCTGCGGCGCCGAATCTTTTATAACCTTCACGAACCACCATGACTCGTTGGCCACTTTGGGAAAGTTCTGATTTCTAAAATGCCAGTTTTAATTCGTAAGTGCAGCTAAACCAGACTATTAACAGGCTAAACATATTCCATCCGACTGTTACAGTAATAAATGAAGCCAACACAATTTTAATGTAGCGAATACGACCCCCAGAGAGTCTGACCTAACTAGTAAAAAAGACACACTTTGACTGTAACGAATGCGACCAAAAAACATGTAACAGTATGAGTTAGATAAAACGCTCGAAGTAATGGCTAACATGGAGCTGGTAAAATATTTTTTAAGGCGACTGAAAATTAATGAACTTTTCATGTGTCGGTTATGCATGATGTCATTAATCGACGCATACTGAGTTAGTAGGTACACGATTATTCATTGACCAACACATGATGTGTTTGTCGGTAAAATAAGTAACAAAAATAAAAAAGTTTTGCATACTAATGTTGTATTTGATACTGGGCTTCTTCGAGCGGTGATTTGGTAAACATATATTTTTCGTTCGTTAGTTGACTAAGGGTGCACTTTTCACACTGGTAGTGGGGGCAGTTATACAAATAAGATCATTGATGTACATTATAAATAAGATGATGCGGAAGACTGACAGTTGTCTCTTTCTCTCTCTCATTCCAAGGTTCACGGAGAAGCCCTCAGCAGTGTCTACTCGAGAATGCACCCATTGACCTACGACCCTTGGCCTTTCAACGTCGGCAACCCCCACGCAACCAGTCACCCCACAATCAAAACGGAAGTCCCTACACCTTCATCCGTCAACGGCGCCTCTAGTTGGTGGGATATGCACACTGGAACCAGTTCCTGGCTCACCGACGCGGCAACCAGTTCAGCTGCTGGCGCTCTGAGATCCCAGATTTCCCCTACGTATCCAACCTCGGACTTCTCCCTAACCCACGCCTTGGGATCTAACGCTGCCACAAACGCTCTGCTGTCATCCGGTCAACATTTGCTCCAGGACACTTACAGTACCTACAAATCCATGTTGACGTCACAGTCAGATCTTAGCGCCGCAGCATCTATGTCTCCTTTTTTGGCGGCAACACGATCCGGGATGACGGGACTTCCAAGTGCCCGCACACAAAGGCGGTACACTGGACGCTCTAACTGCGACTGCCCGAACTGCCAGGAGGCTGATAGACTGGGACCAGCTGGGGAGCACTTGCGCAAGCGCAACATCCACAGTTGCCATATTCCAGGTTGTGGTAAAGTCTACAACAAGACGTCCCATCTTAAAGCTCACTTACGTTGGCATACAGGGGAAAGACCTTTCGTATGCAACTGGCTGTTCTGCGGGAAGCGATTTACCCGGTCTGACGAGCTGCAGAGGCATCTTCGCACTCACAGCGGGGAAAAACGTTTTGCATGTCCAGTCTGCAACAAGAGGTTCATGAGAAGTGACCACCTCAGCAAGCATGTGAAGACCCACACCGAGGGTGGCGGCGACTGCAGCGAGAGTGAGTCCGAAAACGCCTCCAGGGAGGGTAGCATGCCGCGGGATGGTCTGTCCCCTCACGATCCTCACGGACATGTGATGGCTGTGACTACATCACACCCTTCAGATGTGAAGCCCTTATGAATGTATACGTTGTAATTCTCCATCACACACCAGTGTCATGCAGGCAACACTCGCGTCTGTTGATTCTCCGCTACATTGTTGCTTAGAACTATTTATTGTTCATGATGCCAATTGAGCTTGTACAAAACATACGATGTGAATGACAGTTCTTAAAATAATTCAAATGTAGTTGCTTGGAATTGTTCAACCTTTGCTGTTTTCTGTGGAACACTGAGAGTTAAAAAAAAAAAAAGTGACATACTAATACTCTGCTACTTTGTTCCTTGGAACTGTTTATTGTTAATAATGCTCACTAAAGATACAGTGTGAATGATTAAGTCGTACGCGTTCACATTTCAGATGTGATTGTCTTTAGTCATGCTATAGTTTTTGCCGCTTTCGTGTGCAGCACATAGTTTAGTAAACAGCAATGCAACAATATACAAAGATATAATGTAGTTACTGCAGGACTAAGGACGAGACCAAATTACAGACAAATCCTTCGTTATTCAAATCGCTACATGCACAGTTCGACAATAGTACAAGTTGTGATGTGAATGACAAATCATGCTGGCTTTTATTTCGTGTGATTTTACAGAGCTTTGTGGCTTTTCTGTAAAATACTGAAAGTGAAGTAAAACAAACGATTGTAAACAACAGAAAACAGTGTTATAAATATGTAATGTTGGCACTGCAGTACTAAAGACAATAACATGATGCAGGAGCAACCGCTTTGTTAGCCATATGACCTGCATTCAACTTACACAGCTACTGTTGGATTCTCAGACACGGAGCATTGCAGGGTTCTGTTGTACACGAGGAAGATAAGTGATCGCGAGGAACGGAGCCAGCCTGCTCAGATCTGATCGTAGTCCGAATCAAGTACAACTTCACGCCACTGAGGAAATATGTAAATGGTTAGTTGCAATTTCAATTTGACAACAAACAGACCAACGCATCATTGTCACTTTCTATGTGCCAGCGGAAACCATAAAAGAAGGTCTTCATTGTGTTGTGTAAAACATTCAAAAGACAATATTCCCGGATAGCCAACAGCTTGCACACTAGTTAAATGCATAAGGTAGCCGTCAAAAGGTGCCAACATCTGCAGTTCACCATTAGAATTACAGTTCATCGTAGATGGAAGCAGCAGTACTGGGGAAATATACGCTGAGAAAGTATGCTTGGCTTTAAGGAATCTACACAAGCCCTAAATGTAGACTGCTTCATTATTTCCAAACTGGAGCATGTAACACAACATATAGTTAGTAAGTAAAGTCAAGACCCAAGTACACCAGTGGCGGATTCTGTGTCTGGCGCTAGACAGACACGTATTTGTATAGACCAGTCACTCGGTATGTGATGTCCCAGTGTGGGTTCCGGAGCCATTCTGTGGTGCGAGGGGTCGGGGTGGGAAGACCCAATGCTCCCTAAAAAGCATGTCGGAAGAGTCAACTAATTAGAGATGTTACCTTCGAAGTCGTTTTGTATCAACTTGAGAGACGAAGAACCGACAGTCTGCATACAAATAAGAAAGACATTTCAAACGGAGGTGCAAGCAAAACTCAAATTCTCGAACATGGCTTAAAGTCCAGAAATGGACGAGAAATCGGACTTTCCACCGTTGTTTACCGGCGGGGAAAGCACAAAGGAAAAAGAAGATGTGTAATGTGAGTTGAGTTGATTCAAGAACCGACATCATAGCACTCGTTGCATTGCCCATCTTTGCAGCCAGCGCCGAATTCCAATACCAATGGTGCCAATAGCATTCTCAATTAGGTCCGTCTTGCCTTTTCTCTGAGCATCCAGCATCGACCAGATCCCCTCGTCACTCACTGGTTTAGATCATCTATGGTAGGTTCCATAAGTTGTGCCCAGCTTTTAATAAAATCTGTACCTCTGAAAGTTGTGTTTTGCCATGCAACCTGTTAATAATCATGTCCTGGTAAGAAATAATGTTTAATGTGAACAAACATTTAGATTTCGTTTTGCCTTATCTGGGGTAAATTTTTTAAAAACTTTTCAAAGCAAACAATTAGCATTTTTAGAAAAAAGTAAAGGTGCCATTTTCACGTCTTTAAGTGTATAGGGCATATAGGGCTAGACCTATATTTGTATAGACCAATCGGCACAAGATAGGTTATGTGGTCAGCATCACGACAGCCGCCTTTACTTCACAGGACTGCACCCGGTACCCACTCAAGGCTAGGTCGACCTCGGAGTCAAGGTCATTTTTGAAAAAGTCTGACTCCGCCAGAAAGCGAACCCACGACCTTCCGATCCGCACGGCAGCTTCTAGGCGCTCCACCACTGCGACTCCAAAACAATCAGCATGCTTACGGGTAACTGGGTAACGGGAACTTCTCAAAACATCAAATTAGAAGTTACATAGGCTTTTCCCTCTCAGGTGGCCTTCTCCAGCATTAGCCTCACGTGAGTTAATTGAACACAATTTGTCATTGTATGCGGGATAGGCTATCATAATAATGACTACGCATCGCTTCACATATGAACTGATTTTCATATGTGTGTCATTTATATTTTAGGGGTAGGCAAATAGTTAGTAAAACATAGATCAAAGAAATTCGCCGCTTTAAGGAAACATTAGCAACTGTGCAATTTTAGATTATAAAATCACAAAGACATGGAAAATATAAGGCCACATGCAAAAAATGCGGGTTACTCTATATAGCAGTGTTCGAGATATTTGTTATAGTGTAAGGGCGGGAATTTTGAAACGAACTATAGTAGATGTGCAATATATCTTTGTCACTGAGAGTGAGAAAAAGAATATTTGCTTGCTACATACATCCAGTTTTAACATATGGCTGTAAATCCTGGACAATCGATAGGCGGGCCAAACAATTTCTTGAGGCTTCAGAGATGTGGTTTTACAGAAGAATGCTTAAAATTCCTTGGGCAGCCAAAAAGAGCAAACAAGAGGTTTTGAAAGAGGCGGGAGCCCGAAGACAAGTTATCACAGACATCAAAAGGAGACAGTCATCATTTTTCGGCCATGTTATGAGAAGAGGGAAAATAGACTATGTTGTCACCACAGGAAAGATCTGCGGAAGGAGGGACAGAGGAAGACAACAAAAGAAGATTGTTGACAGTCTTGTTGCATGGCATGGAGGTGTGTCGGCACACGAACTGATACATGCTGCAGGAGATCGCAGACTGTGAAGAGGCATAATCGCCCACGCCAGTCTGCAAGGCACCTGACGATGATGATAGTATAATCTAAAAATAGATTGATTTGTTATGAACAACATAGTTGCTTATTCAATGGCCATGCTGATTTTCCGGATAGTATTGTGGATTTTCAGAATTACTATTTCCCTACCGCTGTACGATTAATATCATTAACACAGAATATTTTGTCTAGAGGGCATGGTTTAATCGATATCGATTTTATATTTTGAAAATGTCATGTGTACAATATGTCGGTGATCTTTGTGCTACAATAGGAAGGACAGTATATGTGCTACAATAGGAAGGACAGTATATATGCAACAATAGGAAGGACAGTATATGTGCAACAATAGGAAGGACAGTATATGTGCAACAATAGGAAGGACAGTATATGTGCAACAATAGGAAGGACAGTATATGTGCAACAATAGGAAGGACAGTATATGTGCAACAATAGGAAGGACAGTATATATGCAACAATAGGAAGGACAGTATATGTGCAACAATAGGAAGGACAGTATATGTGCAACAATAGGAAGGACAGTATATGTGCAACAATAGGAAGGACAGCACATGTGCAACAATAGGAAGGACAGCACATGTGCAACAATAGGAAGGACAGTACATGTGCAACAATAGGAAGGACAGTATATGTGCAACAATAGGAAGGACAGTATATGTGCAACAATAGGAAGGACAGTATATGTGCAACAATAGGAAGGACAGTATATGTGCAACAATAGGAAGGACAGTATATGTGCAACAATAGGAAGGACATTATATATGCAACAATAGGAAGGACAGTATATGTGCAACAATAGGAAGGACAGTATATGTGCAACAATAGGAAGGACAGTATATGTGCAACAATAGGAAGGACAGTATATGTGCAACAATAGGAAGGACAGTACATGTGCAACAATAGGAAGGACAGTACATGTGCAACAATAGGAAGGACAGTATATGTGCAACAATAGGAAGGACAGTATATGTGCAACAATAGGAAGGACAGTACATGTGCAACAATAGGAAGGACAGTACATGTGCAACAATAGGAAGGACAGTATATGTGCAACAATAGGAAGGACAGTATATGTGCAACAATAGGAAGGACAGTATATGTGCAACAAAAGGAAGGACAGTATATGTGCAACAATAGGAAGGACAGTATATATTCCCGTTGAAAATCTCATGTTAAAAGATGCTACTGTTTGAGCTGAGACACGAATTGACATCACAGCACTCGGGGCATTCCCATGCGTACTCCGACTGTATATTCAGCAGTTCCAATACTGATGGTACCGGTCACAATCTGGTTATAGGTCCGTCTTGCCTTTCCTCTGAGTGTAGTGAGCCAGCCAGACCTTCTGGTTACACCCAGGTGCCTCATTCTCTCCAGGCCATAATAATCTTCTTTCTCTACTGATTCCGTTGCTTGTTCCCAAAGGGGCCTTGACAACATCTGCAGGTGCTACTGTTTATATCATTGAAGTCAGTTAATCGTGGTGACCGGCCGAACCAACAAGTGTATGTGTTCAAACCGACGAAGACGGGGATTTGTATAATTCCCTTACTCGACCCAGCATAAAATTGGTTCTTGAGTCTGCCAGTAGTACATTGGACATATGATGCTATACTTATCATCCTGTAGACTAATCAGCATTCGATAAAAGATATGGTCAGCAACATGCCGGCTGCCTTTAGTTCTCTGGATGTTTCCTGATACTCATTGTAGAGAGGGTCAAGCTGGGAGAAAAGGTCTACTTTTTAAATAACAATCCACCCGATTCGAAATCGAACTCAGTATCTTCAGATGACTGCGCTACCCC